TGGATATCATCGAGCTTACTGGGCTAGCCACTCCTGGAGAACTGTATGAGCCTAACTGTCAGCTACACCGGAATGCTGTGGAGAGCATCTTTCACAAGCCAGAACCAAACATGAGCCAGATGCTGAGCATGATGAAGCCTTTGCCATCTGACGCTGAGTATCCCACACATTTTTTTGTTGAAGACCTTGAGTATCTGCCTCGCACCATATATCATATCATCAGGCGTACTCTATGGCCAGTCAAGGGACACTCATCAGCGGCCAAGCTTGAAGGAGCTATGAAGACTTTGGTCTTCTACATTCTAAATGGCATCAGCTTCAACACTCAGGAATTCTTCATCAGGCAACTTGCTGCTTCCGGCTCTGACCTATTTGGTCTAAAGTTTTATGCTCTATGGGTCATGCGCCTCATCAAGCGACACTCATCTGTCAATTATCAGCCGTCTGCTCGCAATCACATAATATTTCTGCCAGAGGTTGATATGTTAGTTGATGCTGTATACTCTGACCCTGCCAAGACGCCACTTTGTCTTCAGAACATTGAGCACCAAAGCTTCACTCAGCCTATTGAAGGTGTTCAAGCAGCAACAAGATTCTATCCACTGGCTGGTAACACTCGTCTGCCACACAGAGCGCCCACTTAAGCCACTGAAAGCACCATTGCGCAAAGGCCTCGGAATCGTTCTCGTGTTCTCAATGACCGAGAGCTTCTTGTGGCTCTTCATCAGAAGCAAGATAAGCATCATTTCTGGCTCAAGCGCCAAATGCAAAGCCTCTTGGTGGATGTCAATCGCATTCGCAACCTTGCCACCAAGAATGCCTTTGTTGCTCATGAAACTTGCCGAAGATCATGGAAGAGTTTGACCCTGCTCAGTGCTGAAGCTGATCTTCAAGATGATGGCTTCAATGAAAGATTCCAGTTTGACTCCACTCCTCCACGGACTGCTACCCTGCGTCGAACTCCATCTCTTGAAGACTCTGAATATTCCTCTTTCGCGGCAACAGTTAATGCCAGAGTGATCGATGATGAAGATGACGCTACTTCACCACCTCCAACTACAACTGCGCGCATCGACACTGCACCAAGTACATCTGCACCGCCAACCAACGACAACGACCCAGCTGCTTCACCTACTCATGACGAGTAGATGCTCTATGTCTTCAAACCTTTTTGGTCATTACTGACAAAAGGGGGAGAAGCGTATGAGTTGATAGTCTTCAAGCGGGTTCATATGGGCGGTTGCACTATATTTTGCTGCGTGCTTACAACTCTTGCGTTTTGAAACATTTGGTTCTTTGAGTTGTAACACCTAAAACACGATGGTCGTCTGCTACTTCTGCTACTTATTTGCCTTACTATGATGCGATGATAAATTCCGCATGTGCGATGATAACTTCCGCACTTAGATCATTCTGCAGACGTCCATTTTTCATTATGCATGTCATTCTACTTGTTATATCATTTCATGCATGATGAATTATCTTCATAAGTTGAAGTGGATCTCCACAAGTACAACCTGCCATGTGCATTTGCATTCCAAAAGCAAATTACTTATATGCACATCTTCAGGGGGAGCCCTTGCAACTTATGAAGACAATTCCCTATCCTTACAATTTCACATACTTTATCCCCGTTGAAAACTTCAACCAGTTTGTCATCAATCACCAAAAAGGGGGAGATTGTAAGTGCATCTAGTGCCACCCCTAGTTGGTTTTGGAGTATTGACGACAAAGTTGGTTGAGGGACTAATGCGTTTGTGAGAATTGCAGGATAACGCAGGTAGTGTCCCTCATTGATTCGGTTTACCTACTGGAGATGACCCCTAAAAATGTATGAAGACATTGAAGACAATGGTGGTATGAGAAGATATTCATACTGAAGACTATGACATGAGAAGACATTACGTGAAGACAATGGAGCGTGAAGACTGTGTGGTTTCGTCGTTTCCTTTCCTTCTTTGTTGAGTCATAGGAACCACCGTACTGTTAAGTGGGGTTCAAGTGAACTAAGTCAGAGTGACTGAAGTGATGCTTAACCCAAATCCTATGTCTTCGAGCGAAGACAATGAGAGCAAATCTTATCCAGAGCTGGATGAGTCAGCTTTGCTTGTAGCCCAAGTAAAGTTGCCGTGTGTGTTTGAAATCTGACCGTTGGAACGCGTGTCAGTTCCTTAGTGACCCAGGGTCATTTTGGACAAATCAGGTCGGGTTGCCTAGTGGCTATAAATAGCCCACCCCCTACACCATATATTGGTGGCTGCTCAGAGTTAGTGCACGGCTTTTGTCGTTTGAGAGCAACCCACCTCGAAGCATTTGAGAGAGAGAAATCCTTGCGAGGATAAAGCCCAAACACCCAGAGCCAAAGAGTGTTAGGCATCACTGAAGTCTTTCTGTCTGTGTGACCTGAAGACTTATTACACTTGAGGACTGTGAATCCTCCATCCGGTTAGGCGTCGCGTTCTGAGCATCCAAGAGTCATTGTGGATTGCCGGTGAACGAAGTCTGTGAAGGTTTGGAAGTCTCCCTTGAAGACTTACCAGAGTGATTGGGCGAGGACTGGGTGTCCTTAGCTCAAGGGGAATAAGGTGAAGACGCGGTCTTCTGAGTTAAATCTCAGCCTCCCTAACCAGACGTACAGTTGTCACAGCAACTGGAACTGGTCCAACAAATCCTGTGTCTTCAACAAGCAACTGGTTCTATCCCTTCCCAACCTTACTTTAGTTTGTCTTCGTGAAGTCATTGCCTATCTGTTTATCTGTTTGACTTCATTGCTTGACTACTATTGTTGATTGGCTTCATACCATCTTCCATACTGATCCTTACTACCTAACTGCCATTAGTCCTGTACTTTCATATCATTACATACTTGACTATGACTTGTTTAGGCTAGTTTATCTTTCACTGCATATCAACTAGGTTGTTTC